CATATTCCCTTAACTCGCTAGCAAGAATATTGAGGGTGACGGTATCAAAAGCTTTGCTAACACTGGCACTAGGGGCTTTGGGAGGACCAGAAACAACTTATTTGAATATTCATCATTTGCTTAATGAATCTGCAAATGTGCAAATGAATGTTACCGGTCCTCCAAAAGCTCGTGAATGGATTTACTGGTCCCCATGGAAAACACCCTGGAAGCTCCTTACCCTGAAACTGCACTGTCTGGGGGTATATCTATACTGTGGAGTTATTTTGGGATACCGGAAGTGTACCGAAATAACTATTGTGCATCTTTTGAAGCGGCCCATTATTCTGAAACAGATTTCGAAATAACTGGCAGCTTATTCTAACGTCATGGTAACCCCCGTTCCACAAGGGCTTAGGGGCATTTTGAAATAGCAAGTTATTTCAGAATTACAAAATAAACTATTTTGAAATACTGTACTCTTGAAATAAGCTATGCAATTTGCATAGTGCCAACTGCGTAGCTTATTTCGAAGTAAGGGTGCTGTGTAGATGAACCCTGAACTATAATACATGCTGTACATGCCCATGGGCAAAGTTAACTCCCTTCAGCAGGGTCATGTCTGTTGCATCTGCCTGGGTCACGGGTGGTAGACAGGGCATCTCCCATATGTAATACACCGCATGTAAAATGTTCTATTGCTAAGCACACTCGATGAGTCTACATTGGGATTTTAAACGATTCTCTTTCAAAATGAGCTAAATCCTCCCACTCTATGAAAATAAAGCAGAGCCCTCCGGGCCCAGCTCCGAGAGTGAAGGATACATTCCTCTCTCTGCTTTTGCATTGCAAGACATGCAGCATATAAGGGAAGCAGATGCAGAGGGAAATAGAAGCTTAGCATCCAAACGCAATTACTGGAGACTGTAAACAGTCCTTTGTCATATTATGAAGTGCCTTTTCTGCATGGCACTCAGCAGAGTTAAGAGTTGCAGAGGCTGAAAGCCAGCTCTCTAGATGGGGCCTTGGAATCTGAAAACACCATCTGCTTTGCAAAGGTTGACAGTCAGAGTCCTGGTTAAACTCCACATCTCCTTGTTATGAAGGGCTTGATAACTTGGGATTTGCCCTCAGTCCATTACTTTCTGCTTACTGACTCACAGAACACTCTCTGCCTCCCTGCAGAGCACTCGGCAGCTGGGCTATGTTACATGCTGTCGCTGTCTCACTCGGCATTAGATAGTACAGGGGAGGGCCTTCCGTCTCAATCACTGAAATGCAAACACAAATTTCTGTTATTTCAGCAAAGAGGCCAATGCTGACATTCTGGCTCAGAAACACACATCCAGATGCATTTTTGGCTGGCAGTGTGGTTATTCTGATGAGGTTTTGTTTTACATGTGGCTTAGATGAAAGACAATTAAGACTTAACATCTAATTGGTATTGGATGCATTTTAAATAGCATCAATGGACTTTCTCAACAAGAGCTGCACATTTTGTTTTCTCAAAGTAACTTAACTCCGACAAAGAGAAGGGCAGAAAGGTACAGCTAAAGTATCAGCTGATAGGCGAGATACTACATTTAGAAGCTAAGAAGGCTATTTCAAAGTCAAGCAGGGAGTGGCTGAGTCAGCACTACCGATTAAGTTACATTTAGGCTTAAATCCAATTCAAGAAAAACATTTCTCCTACACTGAAACCCTCACAGCTCCACAGAAGAATTTCTGGAATCATGTGATGAAAGTATTGCTAAATACAAAGCTGCTGTAAGATTAACAAATACAATGGCACAAAGAAGAACTTTCTAATCCCAATTTGCCTCACTGGTTTTCCAGCTGGCAAAATGGTGAGAGCATTAAGAACTTGAGTGAGTTTGTGTGAGGTCTATAGAAGAGAAAGCAAAGGCACATGAACATGCCAGTGATGCATAGGTTCTGTCCGGCTCCAGCCTAAGCAGGCACAGTGAAAAATTTTGCTTGCAGAGTCTGTTAACGCTGTCTCTGGCGTATTTCTGTGCTAAGAGGGTTATTTCATGGACCTGGCAAACAGAGCATCGGAATGTATGTAAGGCTCAGGCAAGAAAGAAGAAATACTGTTCAGTTTCAGACTTGAGGTCTCCTCTCCAAGCTTATAGGGAACTTGCTCTACCCCACTGCATGTGTCACACAGGAAGAGAGGGCAGAGGCCAGAAAACACAAAGCTCTCAGAACCCATTGCAGGGAATTGCAAGGCTGAGGAAACCAATTTTAACTTCTGCTTCCCCACACTACACGTCTGGCAATAGAAACCGAACATGCAGAGAGACACGTGCCCCACAGAGGAGCACTGCTTTGCAGAGGAGAACAGCAGCCATTCCTCATGCTGAAAGTTCAACCCTGTTTGTACGAACTCACTCTCTCTCTCCCCTCTGCACTGTTCAGAGGCCATTCTGTGGAGTCCTGGGGCAAGAACTCCCATGTGGCTGTGCCCTTTCGCTGAAGGCCCTTCAGTAGAGGATCCCCCTTTTCTTCCAGCCAGGTCTCCCTAGGAGCTGTCAGTAGCTCATTACTGAAGCACGCTGAGTTGAACCCCATGTACAGCTACCCGGCACTATCCTGGAGAGGCACTGGGGTGTGGTGGGCCAAAGCTTAGGGTTCCTGAAGTATAACTAGTGGGGTGGTGCCGCTGCACCAAGGCTGGCTTCTTTGTACAATGTGGCTGGAGTTAGTGCAAAGCTCAGTTAGACGGAGAGACTCAGCAATGGCATCTCCCCTTCCCATCTTCACAGGTCGTTTCCTGCTCCCTTAATTCCCATCCCATGTTCCCTATGCCCCAGGAAGGGGATCACACTACCAGGGTTCCTAATGGAGACTCCCCTGCTATCAAATGAACACAGTGATACTCAACTCATACCCAAACACCATCTTCCTGCACTCATGCATGGAAAGGGACCAGGCTACACAGGGCAAAGCTTGCCACAGGAAGCACCTTCCCTTTAATTCTATGCCTGGCAATGAGCAATGATCACAGGGGAGAGACCTGAGATTCATGCCCAGGTCGCACACCTTAAACCCCAGCTCTGGGCATGTGCTCCACCCCACCTTCCGGTCCAGCTGAGCCCAGAACATGCATCTCCTGCCCTGTTGTCTGCCAGCAGAGGCCAGAGAGTGGTTCTCATGCCCCCCCAATGGATGAGTCTCTCAGCATCTGCCACAGACATGGGGAATGTAATTAGCTCTTTGCTAAGTGTGTTTGCATTGATATTTTTCTAAATCCCTTATACAAACATCTCTTATACAAGGGCACTTCAGACTCAAAACATGGTCCTGTCCAGCTCTGCTGGCCATCAGCTCCCTGGCATACCAACAAAGCATTACCACATTCAGCACTGGCTCTTGCTAGGGAAACAACACAGGAGGTTCTTGCATCATAAACCCAGTTAGTCTCCCCCACTTGCTACAGTTTGAGGATAGAAAAAGGAAACTCGGTGCACTAATTAGAAAACTTGAGCTGCTGTGTTTTCTCCAGTTCACCTTATCTTCTTCATTCAGCTCTTGAAGACTCAGCTATTAAAGGAAATTAAGTAATTCATCAAGCCCATTTCAATTATTTGCCATGGATAACATCAGAGTGCAATTAGCATCTACAAATGAACCAAGTGCCAGCTGCCAGCCGGAAGCAGAAGTTAATTTCCAGTGCAGGGCTGCCTGCTAGAACATGCACTTCCAGGGCGAATGGGGGGGATCAAACACCCCCCCCCCGCCCACCCCCCCCCCCAGCCACACCTGCTCTGCAGCAGAGATTCCCAGCCAGGAGACCTCCTGGAGCAGGAAAGTAAGTCACAGCAAGAACCACCTGAGCTCTCTGAATTCCCAGGCAAAGAGAGAAATGAAACTGGGGAATTCCTTCTAAATCCTCTGTCTAAGGTAACTGTAGAACTCTAGTGTCTCCTCCCCACAGGGAGAGACACTGTCCCAAGCCGGCTGGGCTCTGCGCTTGCTTTGAAATCAGCTCTGCCAGAGTTTGGCCAGTGCCCCCTTAGGGGTAGCCAGAAGAACAGGCAGCATTGCATTGGGTAAAAGAGAGAAATGAAACTGGGGAATTCCTTCTAAATCCTCTGTCTAAGGTAACTGTAGAACTCTAGTGTCTCCTCCCCACAGGGAGAGACACTGTCCCAAGCCGGCTGGGCTCTGCGCTTGCTTTGAAATCAGCTCTGCCAGAGTTTGGCCAGTGCCCCCTTAGGGGTAGCCAGAAGAACAGGCAGCATTGCATTGGGTAAGATGAATAAGCAGAGCCACCTTTCGGTTGGCAACCCTCTCACTCCCACACACACTTAAGGGCTCAGCTGGGCCTGATGTTCTGCAGGGGTCCCAAACCCTTGACAAGATGGCAACCATGATGTCCTAATCCCCAGTGGCCCTGATCATGCTGCCACAGCTGCTTTGCACATAAACCCTTCTCTTGGCTCAGAATTGCCAACCCCCAACTTACTTTCCTGCCTTTCAACTCCCTGCCAGGAGCACCAACAGCCTCATGGCAAGATGTGGGGATGGGCCCTTGGGTGGAAGGGATAGGGCCTGGGGGACTCAGTCCTCAGTGCTGCTGGAAGTGCACAACATTGGCTGCCAGGCAGCCCTCAGCACTACCAGGAGCACAGTGACCCCGCACAGCACTGCCCAGAGCCTCCCCGGTTGGCAGGCCTGCTCTGCAGTCATCTCCTGCTTCACGCTCTGCCACTTGTGCACATTCAAGGGCTGGCCCAGGGGCACGCTTTGAACCTGCACAGTGCCCACTCCCGGCAGGGGTGTTGGAACAATGTGTACAGTGAGGGTATTAGGAGCCATTGCACCACACTAAGCCTGCATAGAATGGAAACCACTGCCAGCCAGGGGGTGCTACAGCACCCCTGGACCCTGGGCAAAGGACTGAGATGGGTCAAGAAGCCAGGGAGCTGAGAAGGTGGCTCAAAGCACAGCTCCCTGCAGTAAGTCACAGTTAGGCATTGTTATGCTATTCCACACACATCCTGCAGGGCACTTACCTAGATTGGAGGAGGCTCTGCCCTCAGCAGCTCGGTCCTGCAGGCTCTCAGCTATGCCCAGCTGTTCTTCATGGTACTGTTTGGCCCTCTCCAAGTCTTGCATACACCTGGCAGCATGGCCCAGGCCAGCATAGGCCCGCATCTCAATGGCCTTCTCAGCCAACTCCTGGGCCAGCTCCAGCACGTAATTGTGGTAGGACATGGCCTTGTCGAAGTTCCTCCGGTAGTGGTGGGCACTGCCCAGGTTGCTATAGGCTCGCGCCTCCTCCCGCTTGTTCCCCAGCTCCTTGGCAATCTTCAGGTGCTGCTCGTGGCACTGCACAGCATTCTCAAAGTCCCCCATGGCGATGTACACTGCCCCCATGTTGCCCAGCTCGCGGGCCTCCGAGAGCTCTTCTTTGGACTGTTTCGCAAGGAGCACACACTGCTTGTGACTGGCCAGGGCATTGGGGTAGTCGCCAATGGCTGTGTACACATGGCCCAGGCTGCTCAGGGCGGAGGACGCTGCCTGTGAGATGAGAAAGAGAGAAGGTGAGGGCGAGAGCCTGTGGAAAGAGCCAGGTCAAAGAGAGACACAACATTCACCAGTAATCATGAACAAACTTCAGCTCTGCTTCCTGATGGTCCAGTGGAAACCTGGCTACATGCACCTGTGATACGATGCTCAGGAGAAAAAGCTGCAGCTGCCAACGGGAGGGGTAAATGTGCCATTTGTTATTTTCCAGCAGCTGGGGCATTTCTTGGAGGGCAGCCTGTGGCAGTGAGAGGCTGCAGGGAGAACTGGACTGGGACTCTGACTGAAGGACGGTTTCTTCCCATCCCTGGAGAGACGCAGCAGGGAAACCCCTGGTGCAGGAAAGGCCGGGAGAAGCTGCAGGGACTTGGCAATCTCACGAGCTGCGAGGTGCCTCAGGCTACGTCTACACGGCAATGCTTTCTCGGGATACTGGAGTACCCCAAAATAGCTATCCTGTGTCTCCACAGCAAGCCAGTTATTTGGGGCTTGTTATTCCAATGTCCTCTTAAACCTTGTTCCACCAGGAGTAAGGAACATTTCGGAATAGCGCTTTATTTCAAAATTAAAACGATGTAATAAGCTATTTTGAAATAGCATTGAAATAAGATACACTATTTGCAAGCTCAAATTGCATCTCTTATTTCAAGTTATGGTGCCGTGTAGACACACTCTCCCTGCAAGCAGCTGCGTCTCAGCCTGTCTCTCACTCCTCTTGCACCCCTTACTGCCATTCCTGTTATCACAGCAAAGACCTGTCTACAGACAGAGCCTAATGGCATTTCTGTGCCAAACGCCAACTGCGTGTGGAGTCACGGCCCGTGCAGTGAGCTCTCTTCCAGCAGCAGTGCTCCCAGGCTCTGACTAAGAAGCCCAAGAGAACCTGCAGCAGGAGCAGCTCAGAGCAACCACGTCCACACTGCAGTGCTTCCCATTCCCTCTGCACACTGAGCCAGTGTGGATTCCTGGGCAGGACTTCCAGCGGTTGCTTCCCACCTTAGACAGCCCAGGAAATGTCTGCTGGAGGAAGGCTGAACCATGTGCAGGGAGCGATCTGACAGGAATAAGGTGCCTCTGCTGCCTACCTGCACAGTGCAGCCAGCATGCTCAGTCTCACCAAACAGCCGAGACGCCACTCTCCTGGCTGCACCCAGGTCACCTGCAGCTATGGCATGTGCTCATGGATGCCCATTGGTACCAAACAGAGTTAGCAGCACAGATTAGCCCAAATGCAAGAGCAGGGTTTTCCCATGCACCAGGTGCAAGAGAGAGACCTGTTCCAGAATGTGTGGATGCCAAGGAAAGCCAGGAGCCTGCTACAGCAGGAGGTGAGCTCAAAACTGCTGCTCTGGTTCCTTCCCCAGGTCAAGTGGAGCAGCACTGCCTGCCAAACCCTTTGGCCGCACACAATGGAGCTCGCTCTGGGGCATTAATCATAGAATCATAGAATCATAGGACTGGAAGGGACCTCACGAGGTCATCGAGTCCAGCCCCCCGCCCTCAAGCATTAGTTATATGCTGGCATCCAGAACCAATCCTGCCTTTCTGTCCCTCTTCCTTCTTTTCAGCTGGTGCACCTCCCTTTCCCAGACTGTCTGTAATTGGGTTGTAGTTGGATTGTCTGCAGTTGGGTTTTTTCTATCCTATCTATGAGATCACCTTCTGCAGTTGGCAACCCTGGGGCCTACCAGCCCCTCCCCACAGAAGACGTCTCCCCCAGCAGATACAGACCTTTGCAAAGGCAGTTCCCTCCCACCTGGGTCCCACTTGTCCTTGATATGCTGAGACCTTCCTGATTGTTCTCTCCAGCTCAGGACCCCTACCTCCAGCCTGGACACAGCTGCCAGGTGCAAGGGTTCACATTCAGTCTCTGTTTCTCAGCAGGCAATGAACCCCTTCCTGAGCAGCCCCTCATGTGCACCCAGCCATGAACCGTCTGCAGATCAGAAGGTTTCCTCTCCCACAGGAAAGCTGGGTCAAGTCCCCTCACGGGAGCTGCACAAGATCATTACTAGCAGCTACAGTCTGGCTACAGCAATTGGGCTTTCGCCAGCTGAGGCCAGAGGAGCCTCCCTAATGATTCTTTTCATGAAGATGATATCACAGGTGGAAGAATAGTGCAGTGCCAGGAAGATCTATGGGCCAGAGTGAAGGGCAAATAGCACAGAGGGGAAATGACTTCCATGCTCAGCAACATTAATGCGCTAATGTTTCCAAAGCAAGGGTTTGTCAATGTGTGGGCAAATTAACAGGTTAAAAAGGAAACCAGTTTTTCTGATACAAGAAGCTGAGGCAACCAATAAGCGATTATACACAATTGATAGGTCACATGATATGAAAATTGGCCAAAAGCACTACCTTGGTCATCTCCATGAATAGCAAAGCTACATTTGCTTTCCTTGAGGGCTCCTTGCAGGCAGTTTAATTGTACCATAACAACCTACACAATGTGCGATGACTTCCTTTGTTTCACCTGGTGCTATTGATGAGCCTCAAGCAGCATCATCAGGCAGCAAGTAACTGATGCCAGCAGAGGTGCAGCTGGTGTTAAAAACACCCTGATTTCCCTGGGGAGGGTGATACACACTCCTGAGATAGGAGGCCAGATGCTGAAGTGCAGTTTAATTGTACCATAACAACCTACACAATGTGCGATGACTTCCTTTGTTTCACCTGGTGCTATTGATGAGCCTCAAGCAGCATCATCAGGCAGCAAGTAACTGATGCCAGCAGAGGTGCAGCTGGTGTTAAAAACACCCTGATTTCCCTGGGGAGGGTGATACACACTCCTGAGATAGGAGGCCAGATGCTGAAGTCCTTTGGACTTCGTGCTGAAGCCTTGAGCCTGGTGCGCTAGTCCAGGAGAAGAGGGCAGTCTGGAATGCTGGCAGTCCTACACTAGGGGCTCTGTGAGTCAGCTGTGGTACTGATGCTGCCAATCCAGGGGTTAATGTTGTAAGGGAGGGAAAATTAAGCTTCTTTTGCTGCTGCAACTTGCCCCAGCTAGCAGCAATTCCCCAAACTTGCCCTTACTTGCACCTCTGAGCCCATGTGAGTGAGGCAACTGAATGAACTGGCCTGGGCTGGAAGTTACATGGTGCTCCAATCCATCCACTCCCGCCAATGTGCACAAGAACACACCCAAGAAACATGCTTTGGCAGGGGGCTTGGGACCTGACTGCGCTCCCTTAAGAGGGTACTGTGCAGCAGGGAAGAGAGAGAGACTGTTTCTGTTGGGAAGAGAAGGCCAGCCAGCTGCACAATGGCCCAGGCAGGATTGCTGGGCGCACCTCAGTGATGGGTGGAAAAGGAGGACTTCTCTTCACATATGGAGGCACCTGTCCTATGCGGAGAAGGAGTGCTGGTTAAAAGGCATTTACAATATTGGCTCAAAAAAACCAATTTGCTAGCATCTTGTCTAACTAATGCAGAAGGCAGCTCAATCGCTGGGGGCAAATGGTGTTGGTTGTTGGGCACCCCACAGAACATTCCTGCACTAGCTTCTGGCCCCATCTCTAACTCCTGCAACTCTTCCCAAGTCTGGAAAGTTTTAGGCAGTTACCGAGAGTTTGCCCTCCAAGTAGCTGAACAAAAGATGAAAGGCCCCAGCAGAATCCTAACAGATTGGATTTGTCGGGAATGGAAGCCCCGCAGCGCAGTGCCTCGTTACCCTGGAAAAGGTGGCGGGGTGGAGGCTGCAGACATGAAGCTGGCCTCCCAGACACTCTCACTGACAGGCTGGCGGGGTGCCATGGACGGGACTCTCCATCCCACCGGGGCCAGTTTTTTTCCATACGTTTAGTAGCAGCCGCAAGCAGCGCTGGGAGGAGGCCCATTCCATTCCACTTAGTTTCACACCAGCTTGAAAGAGGTTTGGCTCTCTGGGAAGAGCTCTCCAGCAATGTAATGAAGTGAGTATTTGGCAAACACTAACAAGGAACTGCAGTTACCCGAGGGTGGGTCTGATAAAGCCTGTTCTGAGGCTGCTTCACAATTAAGAGGCAGAAATCAGAATTTTCTGCCTTGTGACATTCCATTAAAGTGAAAATTACTCAGTCGTGTATCTACATTCCCAGCCCAATTGTACCATGTATGAACTTAGAAACCTTGCATAGCTTCCATCCAAAGCAGTGTAAGGCCCAACACAGGCTGTGACTCAGTGAAACACACCAGGGCTCCCACCTGATGGTGGCTAGTGAAGTATCCCTACTGACCATGGGATGCTGGTAGCCTGGTTGGGACATAGTAAAGCCCAGTGCAGAACAACTCCTCAGCCTCGTTTAATCCCAGGAGCTAAGCACCTCTCTCCCTTACACACTGGGCAGCCAAAGCAGCACACTGTGATGTAGCCAGAATGCAGTGCTACTTGGGGAAATGCAACCGTGGCAGAGCAATGAGGCCTGGACCTGTTGTGGATGTCTGTTTGCACGTTAGCCAGCAGGAAGAGCCATGGACAGGTAGTCTCGAGCACAGCTAGGAACAGACTCAGCTGCGTCCAAAGTGCAGGAGCTGGGGAGAGGAGGCATGACAGGAAAGCAATGGAACTCAGCACTGCTGCACAACTCCAGAGACCCTCCCCCACAATGTTTCCTGGAAGCTGAGCATGTGGGCAGCCACCCAGGCAAGACTGAAGTGCTGCCCAGCTGATTAGCACAGCGCCCACAACTGGCAGCATGTGTTGCTACTGGTGGTGCACATCTGCACATGCCTTGGTGCACAGAACAACTTTATTCCACACGTGGATGGAAAAAAGTAGAAGGAACACACACCGAGAAGCAGCATTTAGGAATCTCCAGATCATTTACCTCAGAGAGAGATCTGGCTATTAAATTCCCAGGGCTAATGCTCATTTAGGGTTCGTCTATTCTGCCTCTTTATTGTGTTGTAACTTTCTCACTCGGAGTGTGAAAAAGCACCTGCTACCCCCCGAGCACAGCAAGTTACAGCGCTGTAAAGTGCCTATGTAACCAGACTCCCAGCACTGCTCACTATTC